GGGAGCGGAGGAGACGATTGGAGTCTGCAGAATGCTATTCCGCCCGGAACGCTTGTGGAACTGACTAGCTTGCCAAGTACATACTCCAGAGCTGCCGTCGCCGACAGTTGTTCCTCTATCAGGTCCGACCCTAACTCTGAAATAACCGAAGCTTGCAAGGCTCCGTCGACATCGTTCGATCCTTTCGGTCACATTGACGATGAGGCGTCTATTCTCAGCATCTTGGACCGATACACTGCGGGGCCAACTACGACGCCATCAGAGCGCGACCCCTGTCCCACGCCGCTCACAGTTGCAATCAATTCTCGCGAGCGTGAACTCACGAAACAGGAGAAGTCATGGTTCGCAGCACGTCTCACGTACGCGTTAGAGACGTACATACACTACGGCGTAAATTCATCTATCTGCGATGTGTGTCGGCAATGGAGCGATTTGCGGCATATGCCCGCTCGTTTCTCCTATCTCAACAAGCGCGGGTTTAGGGATTATGTTGAGGAACCGTATTCTTCATCAGCCGAGTCAGTGATCTCGTTCTATCCCGGTGAAGGAGGGCCGATATATCTGCATAATCCCCAGACACAGCTCTCGCCGATTCTCGAGGCTTCATGCGCGGAGGAAGAGTTTGATGATGAACAGGGGACCTACGCGTGGAAGGCGAATATATATCGACGACTTGCTATTGCGTGTAAGCGGAAACACAGACATCGACATCCCACCGGCATGCCTCCAACTCCGCAATCAGGAGCACAATCGGGATTGAGGTGTGCAGGGTGTGCATCGGTTGCTAGCTCTGAGAACCGCAGCCTCGCTGTTGATGAAGACATCATTGCGGATGAATTCCATCGTCTCTATGAAGATGGTTTTGCAGCTGGTAATATGGATAACGATGATGACGATGATGATGGGCTTGAGTTCCCAGACAATGTGTCGTATAGCTGGATTCCACAGCGCCATGAAGATATGTCTGAAGATTCTAGCGTTCACGCGGTTGGTTCGGCTTCTGTATACTCTGGAACTCGAGCAGCAGCGGAGGATAGGAGGGAAGGAGCTATTGCCACTGCTGGCGGAGACGCGCAGAAAGAACGTCCATTGGGAAAGAAAGAGATTAAACAGTTGCGGCGGGGGGAAAAGAAGAAGCGGAAGGAGGAGAAGAAGCGGAGACGGAAGGAGGAAAAGGAGGAAAAACGAAGGCGGAAGGAGGAGAAGAAGAAGCAGAAGAAGGAGAAGCGGCCACGATTCAAGACCTGGATCTATATGGTTGAGAATGATCCGAGGTACATCTGGTTGGGAGGGTTTATAGCTATGTTACGGATGCTATTCACGCTGTCTGACCCTATATGAACAACCAGGTTTGCAGTATCTGTTTTTTAAGAATTTTAAATTAGAATGGTGATGATCAAGAGAGTTAGTAGTAATAATCTGAGATTTACAATGAATTTACTACTGACTGAATTGAATTTACTGAGCTGACTGAGAGGAGGGAAGAAGAAGGTAAAAAAAAAAAAAATACAATAAAATAAAGGAATCAGTCTTTTTTTTTTTTTTTTCAAGTAGTACTCTAGACCAAGTGGGATTCGAACCCACGACCCCCGCATAACTTGGGTGCACATGAATATCACTCCCTCAGTTGAATATAGGGAATGAGGATCATATAAGAGCGGAACGCTAACCACTGCGTCACTGGTCCCAATTTGTTGGGCGCAGTCAGATTCGGGAGATAGTATCGTAAGAGCGACCGATGCTGTCTTTCGAAATGCATTTAGCTTACAGAACAAGGGGGGGGGGGGGGAGAGAGAGAGAGAGAGAGAGAGAGAGAGAGAGAGGAAGAGAGAGAGAG